GTTTGAGGAACATTAAAAGTTGTATCATTCCACACATAAGAACACTCATTCAACCAAAAGTCATTTTTTGCGAAAAATCTAGTTTTATTTCCACTCGAGCTAGCCCATTTTGATTTGAAGACGGGCATAAATTTTTTGCGAAGATGCGCTTCTAATTCGGATAGGTTTGCGACATTGAATTTATTCCTAATATAGGAAACTAAACACTGTATACTACACTCTTTTTCGAGAAGCACAGTAATTAAGTCAATATTTTTAATAACAATTCTCATGTTGATAATAATTACTAACCGACAGAAAAGCAACTTATATTATTCACACATGGAATGAATGACATACACAAACTTGATCGAACATTATTTCTGCTTGATAAGTAAAAAGTAAAAACAGAGATTACGCTCACGGTCGCAGGTGGTCGCAGCTAATTCCTGCTGGACATTGTTTATTAAGATATATTTAATCAAAAACCGTAGAAATTACAGATAGGGAAGGATTAGATCGAAAGTTATGTCGAAATAGAAAACACCTTTAATTTTTATCTGCTATTTTCTATTATTGTCAAAAAATTTCAGGCATTATAAAGCTTTTTGTAGCAGTAAGATCGAGTTATGTTTTACAAGAAGCCAGTACAACAGTCATTGTACAAAATTGTTTGTATTTTTCCATTATTCTTTTACTTGTGTATTAACGAACTTATCATGTTGTATTCTGGTGTCGACTACTTTGGCAACGAATTGCGCTTCAATTGTGTAGAAATACCTTTTGGATTAAACACCTGTAATAATCTAAAAAGAAGCATCCACAATCATTTTTGACGAGAGACAATTTCACAACAATCGACTTTTGTCCCGTTTTTCAGCTTTTGAAACCACTGTGCGCCGCAGCAGCGTTTTGGTGACATTCTCCGTAGAGTATTAACATATCCACGAGCTCACTATTTTCAAAACGATAAGCACGTTGAAAATGAGCCATGCCAATAAATTTGAATGACAGCTCTGACAATACTCTAAATTCATATCCATGACAATGATATTTTGTGTAAACGCTAATCTTTAATTAGAAATTTTGGACAGGACCGTCTCTAAAAATTTCTAAAATTTATAAAAAGATGAAATCAATAAATATCGAAATTTTACTAAGGTAATAGAAGCTAAATCACTCTAGAGCAACGCATAAAACTAAGTGTTAAAAGGAACCTCAACTTAGCGAACACCCTGTATTTTCTTTGACAGACAAAACAGCTTTAATCATTGAATATTTTGACCAGAGAGTAGATGGTTTTACTTCTTGTGACTGTAACAAAATACGGAAATTATCACGATAATCATGTGTAAGGCTTATAAATATTGAACATTAAGGCGGCACTTACCTTTTCATGAAGATAATTTAACATTACATCTTCATCTACTACTACAATTTTTTTGTCTTCTTTCCATCGTAGGAATATTTGATATTCCTTTTCGTACATTTGCCGAGACTTCGCTGGAAGTAAATCTAGTACGATTTCTTTTGCTTTTTCCGTAATATGTGCGGGATTCTGCATTTTGTGCAAAAAAATGTCAGGTTTTTTCGTGTTTACAAAACACTGTAGTTACTATGGTGGCAGCCCACTAGCCCACTTTTCAATAAATATTTGCTCCGTTTGTCAAAATTAGTCGTTTTTATAAGTGGTTTTAAAGGTGTTTTGGGAGCTTGAACAAAAAAATATTGTTTGTAACACGTACCTAAAACGTTTTTTGGGACTCATTTGCTATTCCGGACTCGCCTTCGGCTCGTCCGGAAACAGCAAAATTCGTCCCAAAAAACTATGTTTTAGGTACTTGTAACAAAAATAACTATTTCCATCGTAGCTACTTTAATATAAGCTTTTATAAATATTTCAGGCAAGTCGTAAATTGTAATTCGTTCATGGTGTTTTAAGAAAAAATCACATTCCCTATTGTAAACTGTTTTCAATGGCCCAAAAGATGTTAAATCTAACGGCTGCAGACGGTGGGATGTGTGTGGGGGTAACGTTAATAAAACAATACCGTTATCTTTGCACAGGCTGTATATCTCTAAGCTTATGTGGATTGTGTGGTTATCCAAGATAATAAGTACCGGATCATCTTTAGCTTGTTTTAGGTACTTTGAAAAATGCTGTAGCCATTCATAAAAAAGTCTGTCGTTGCTCCAACCGGAAAAAGAACCTCTGTAAATTGCCCCTGGAGGTCCATTTCTTTCAAGAGCACTTGCCATCCTTCTGCGGGGAAAAACAAACATGGGTGCAATGCATTGGCCACTTGCACTCATGCAGCAAATGACTGTAACGTTTTTCCGTCTTTCGCCGGAAGTTTTAATGCCAAGTTGTTTAATTCCCTTAGGGCTTAAAACTTTTGGGGGCGTTTGGACAATTGTAACACCATTTTCATCAACATTGTATATTTTATTGGGCGTCCAACTGTGTTTTTCAAAAAGACTACCTAGATTTTTAAAAAACAGCTTAACATCGTCTTCATTGAAAGCTTTGATTCTGTTTAGGCTAGTTCCTTCTGGTTTTCTTAAGCGAATATTAAGGTGGCGTTTACAAAAACTGTAATAAAAATCTTTTCCAGCTGTCTGTGTTATTTTATTAAAATTATTTTTAATGTGGTTAGCTTCGGCACAGCATAGATATCAATCAGTAGAGACAGCTCGTGTCGGCGCCTTTGTTCTTTCTGACCCGAATTTTAAGCCGTCATGGGTGGTCGTTGCCTAAACTATTCCTAGATGTCGCCAATTTAAAAAGTATCACTTCATTTACAATTTCAAAAATTGATTCGTGTACGCAATATTGCAAACTGTGTAGTTTGCTCAAATCGTATAATCGTGAATCGCAATAAGAAAAAAAAAGTCGATATTTAAATTATAAACACGATGATTTGTTACAGTTTTTATTTTATTACTTATACAATTTGACAATTCGCACATTCTTTCCCTGAATACTTGAGGTTTAATTATCATTGTAAAAATAATGTAATAAATACATCTAAAAAGAAAGAGGTTTATTTAAGAAAAAATAAATAAATAAAATAAAAATTAAATTACAAAAAGGAAAAAAGTTAATGCTGCCAAATTTTTTTTTTCTATTAATTTTTTCACCTTTGGCATCTGTAAATTTAAAGCTAGCATTTACAAATCCGGAAATGGTACACTTTGTAATGGACCGTAGGTAAAGGAGTATTTTATGAGGACTAAATATTTTTCGAGAATAGACTCTTTTAGTTATTAAAGAAAGTATCCATCTTATTTATATATGTAGAAAGCTAAAAAAAAGTAGAGAAATAAACAGACAGGCATGATAATGTAATTATGGTAATTACTTTATACAAGAATAAATATAAAAATAAGAACAGCACCTGTTAAATTGTTTAATAATTTCAAAAATTTTACGAAAAAAACGCATTTTACCTAACAACTTAACCCGTAAGCGTAATATCATATAAAGTAAAATTTTTATTTAAAAAAAAATTATTACAAAAAAAAATACATATTTGTCGACTCTCATAAAGTGCAGGTAATTGGTATGGGTCACGCGGGTAAGAATAATTAAGGAATTCATGAAACCGGAAGTCCATAGGGATTAAGCGAAAAAAGATATTTGACAAAATGTACGGCTTGGGTCATTTTTACCCACGTGCGACTGCTTATGGGTTAAGCAACGTCTCAAAATAAAACTCAAGATTGTGTAGGTCAAAAAAAATATATATATACATGATGAATAAAAAAATTGTTTATTGAGTAAAGGTCTGCTTATATAATTTTTTGTTACGTGTAGTTTGTTTCTTATTATTTTTATATTTAATTTTACCACAACAACGGAATCATATATAATAAATTTTTTATATTTATTTCATAACCACCGTTGTTGTTCGTTGTGTTATGTTTACTATATTTTCCAAGAATTCCAAACACGAGGGAGAGAATAAGGCGCACAACAGGGATCCTGTATGAAAATTCATCGGACAAAGATTTTACCTTTTATTGTGAAAATTACATTTTTATACTATTTGTACAATTCTACTGGAAAAGCAGTCTTAAACAAGCAAAACCGGCAAAAATATTGTAACAAAACTGCCAAATTTCAAATATTTTAGACGTCAGTTGGGCGCCCTCATTCGGTCATAAAGCGAACGACCACCCACGAAAACGGGTCACGAAAAACGGCGAGCCGTCTCTACTGATTGATATCTATGCTGTGGCTTCGGCGTAAGTATTGATATTTGTAATTTCGAAATCAGGCTTAGCAATAAACGTATCAGAAAATTTTGTTGCAAAAGCATTTACAATATCTTGTGGATCATCATATTCAAGACCGTTTTGAATTAGTTTACCAGGAATACGGGAAGTGCCCTTCTTGGAATTGATATATTTCCACATATTCTTGGGGTTTGTTCGAAGTGACTCCTCAATAGTCCCATGTACGATTCGTAAGACGACTTAGTTAATTGTTTAGAGATAGTTCTAGCTTGCCTAAATTTCTCAAGATACGTTACATATTTCGTCTCCCTCCATTTCCTTCTGTAATATTTTTTTGTTTTATTACGCAGAGAACGTAGGAGGTAAAGCAACATATTTCTTATACAAAGCAATATAATTCACTGTGCCATCCAGGGTGCCCAGACCAGTGGTCACACTAATCGCCAACAGAGGGACCCCGAAGTCGCCAAAATCGCCAACCCAACATTTAAAATCAAAACGCCCCTAGGTTGTTGACTTCTAGTGAAAATACTTTTTATGCCATTTTTAAATATTTATTTTAATAAAAAAAAACATTCAGATCAATAATATAGTCTACATCACCTAAACAATTATTAAAACCAAATAAGAATAAATTGAAAATACATCAATAATGTTACACAAAAAGGGCTTACATTTGGAGTTACCAGAGATAACTTAGTTAGAAGTTATAAATAAATCTATTAATTTGTATCATGCATTTTGATATGTAAATATTTGTTATATAATGAAAAAATAACGTCAAGAACAGGAAAGTCCCTAGATGTAGGTTCTTCTAGTAACTTTAACTGTCACTGTCAAACGCCCATTGACTGTCAAGCAAGATGCCAAGTGTCAAACTGAATGTCAACTTGAGATTAATTAATCCAATAAGATTTTATAAATTAATGCAGAAAGTACTAAAAACAGAATCCAAATAAGTTTTAAGTAGCCGAACACACGTATGAAAAGCTAAGAATAGCAGGTATTTACCCATTCTTAAATATGTGTATCACAAGCTGTTTATACTTTTTTAGCCCACATTTTTTATTCAAAAAACTCTTGTGTCACATTAAAAATAACGTGTAATTCATTTTCATTAATTGCATCTTCACCATCACAGTTTGCGTAAACTATGTTGCTGTTAAAAAGTGACAGCATATGATCTGTTGGGGTAAAATTATTGCAACATATTTTACGATTAAAACAAAATATTTTGGTTCTAATTATGGCTTCTAAAGTGGTTAATTTTAGGCGATTTCTCACTTTGGTTTTTACGCTATTCATTATGGAAAACACTCGTTCCACTGCAGCATTGCTGAGAGGGAAAGTGAGCAAACGTAAAACAATAGTTGCCAACTCTTTGAATATTTGTTGACCTGCGCCATCAACATAATTGAAGACTATCGGCCAGAATTTCAAGATATTATTGGGAACATTTCCTCAGAATTCTTCTTCCCAATTTACAAGCTGTAATTTGCGCCATTGATTCTCCACAGTATTGAGATCTTCACCATAAAAGAATGGTTGAAGAGGTAATTCAGCAAAATTTATTTTCTGTTGCTTGTTTAAACAACACACAGGGCTTAAAAGCTTCATCTTATGGAATATTTGTAAATTTGATGGCATTCTTTCAATGAATTCTTTTAATAGTGTTTGTAAACAATTGAAACACCTGACTTTAATTTCATTTATTTCTTGTTGAGGCAAGTTATAATTATTTAGTTCTGTCATAAAATAATAGCCTAAATCTGCATCTTCCACTGAAAGATATGCCAATTTATTATCTACAGCTGCAGCAATTTTAAAAAGAACAGAGACATTTTCATTAGATTGTTCGTCATTGGTAGTAAGAAATATTGGTTTAATGATTCGTCTCCCTAAAGATTCGACAGTTAAAAAATATTGTGAATATGCTGATCCGATGTCATATTCATTGGATTGGAATATCAGATTTAGCTTATTTGTATCTTCCAAAAGAGGAAGTAAAAACTTAAAATATAATAGCATTTTATTATCATTTAATATGTTAAAAATTGTTTTGGCTTTATAACATTTTTCCTTGTTACCAGCCATTTCAAAAAATAATTTTAATTCTGTCCAGTGTTCTAATAACCTTTTAATAACGTTATATCGTGAAAGCCATCTTGTTGCTGATAGTTTAACTAAATTTTTGAAGGAATTACTTTCGTTAATATTAATTGTATCATATAATTTCCGATATTCAATCTTTCGTAAAGGCGAATTACTAAACCAGTTGTATACTTCATGTGCCAAAAAATCTAAACAGCTTGGTAACTCTGTGCTGGCTTTAGAAACACAGAGGTGAATTGCATGACAAACGCATTTTAAGAGGCACAAATTTTCATTATTACTCTTTAAAAGTGAATAAACTGAATTATTCTTTCCACACAAATTTGCGCCTCCATCTGTTCCTACAGCCAGCATGTTATGAATTGGCAAACCTATTTTGTTAAAATAATGTGTTAAAGAATTATATAAATTTTGTGCTGTGGCCTTCTCTACCTCAATAAGGCCTAAAAAGTCAGTTGTTAAAATAGCGCCGTTGAAATACCGAACGCAAACCGCTAAATATTTTTGACACTTACATCCGTTGATTCGTCAATGATACATGAAAATTTTTGATTGCCTATTGATGAAATAATTTCTTTCAGATATGATGCCCCAATTACGTTTCTAATTAAACCAGCACATTTCGTATGATGCAGTTTTAAATTGGTGAAACTACTTGAAGTTGGTGAATTCAGTGATTCTTGATTCAGGATTTCTCCCAGATGATCAACAGATCTAATAGATGAATGAAACAGGATGTGCATGGATAGTTTTAAATCAATTTTTTTTTGTTCTTCACCACCAGTTGAGGTAACTAAAATGATAATGTATACTTTAGTTTAAACTGTGGTTTGGTTAAAATCAACTTACAGTATTGTTTTACAGTGTTTTTTTTTGGAATCACTCGGTTCTTAGCATTCGTTTGATGAAATTTTGTCTCTGCATGCTTTTTCAAGTCAGCATAATGGGCTCGAAGTGAGGTGTGGCAGAACATGCAATAAGCCTCTTTTCCATTAGAATCATTTTTTTCCTCTCTGAGCCAACCTATTGGACAGATTAAATAATTGATTACATTTCAAAGCAGTAATTGAACTGAACAATTATGTGACTACCAGCTAACTAACTACTACTACTTGAGAGAAATTTAATTAGATTTACCTTTCGCCCACGATTCTTCTGCCCATTTGGCTTTGTAATGCCGCGTATATTTTCCATGTTTTCCCATGATATTAATAAAAAAAAACTTCAGTTTAAACACAGCAGAAATTAAATTATAACACAAGGACACTTTCCACTTTCAGTGAAATACCAAAGGAAAATGCACCATGAGAGTGGGAGAATTGTCGACTCATTAAAATTATATGGAGCGAATCTTGTGATCCAATAGTTTTTAAGTATTATTTAAAAATCAGTGATCAAGCTAAATTATAAGGGTGGGAAATTAGCGGTAAAACAATGGATTGGAAGATTGCAATGCGGTGGAAGTTGTTCTTGCCGCCTTCAGAGGTGATTGGTCCATGGAAGGTTTTCAGGGGAAGCTGCTGTGGGGTTGATGTTGGTCAGGACTCAATAACTCTCAATCCCCAACAATTAACAATTTATTCACAAACGTTCACACAAGAGAAAATACAAAGCAGTGTTCATGTCAGAGCGAGACTCTAAGAAGTACTGATTCTCCTAGCCCTCTCGTGGGGGGAAACGCCGCGGTCAGGTCTACATAGATGGCGCCACATCACTCCTTCCCCAGTGAGAGGGTTGCGAACACTCGAGCGATTAGAAAGTTTTTACAATTATTTACGTACAATGAGTTATAAGCATTACATTTTAGTGAAATTGGACGAAATCTTTGTAGCGCGATGGAAATCTGACGCGTCTCCCTGATCGGGCGGTCTGCTCGCTTCGTGCTTGTTGGTTGGGCGCGACTGTCTCGGCGCCAGAATTGGAATCGTCACTAGAGACTTCATCTGGTGGGTTGGCGGTACGGTTGGTACTCGTGCATGGAGTGAAATCTGTCATTCTTTCGACGTATGCGGGTTTTAACCTATCAACGGATACGTTTGCAGCCCTACCCTTAATTAGCAAGGTGAAAAACTTGTCGTGGCGTTCCAGCACTTTGAAAGGACCTTCATATGGGGGCTGAAGTGGCTTCCGTATAAGATCCACTCTCACAAACACGAACTCTGATTGCTGCAAGTTGTTTGGCATATGGACGTAAGGCTTGTTGTGGTGCCGTGCTGCTGGGTATTTTAGGCACTGCATTCGGGCTTTCAACTGCTCCACTAACTGGTTTGTCAGCGGGGGCAGTGTCTGTGGGTTCGACGTTGCTGCCTCAAACATGTCGCCTGGAAGCCGGAGAGACGTACCGTAAACTAAGTCGGCTGCAGATGTATTGATGTCTTCTTTTAGCGTTGTTCTTAGGCCTAATAAGACTAGAGGTAGGGCGTCAGTCCACTTGCTATCGTGGCACATGAGTGATGTCTTCAGTGACCGATGGAAACGTTCAACTAGACCATTACTCGGTGGGTGGTAGGCTGTGGTTTTTAATGTGGTGTGTGCCTAGCATCTGTGTCAGGGATGAAAACAGTGATGACTGGAATTGGGTACCTCTATCTGTAGTTATTTTGGCTGGTGTTCCGAAACGACAAATCCATGTGTTGACAAATGCTTTAGCGCATGTTTCAGCTGTAATATCTTGAATCGGCGTTGCCTCTGGCCATCGTGTGAATCTATCAATTAGGGTTAGCAAGTACTCCTTCCCATTTGCTGAGGGTAGTGGCCCTACAATATCCAAGTGCACATGGGAAAATCTGGCATCCGGGTTTGCGAACGTGCCAACTGGTGCATGGGTGTGTTTGTGCACTTTGGCCTTCTGACATTTTAGGCATTCTCTTACCCATGTTGCTATGTTTTTCCGCATGGAGGGCCAGAAATATTTCTTCGAAATCTGTTTAGTGGAGGATTTCACTCCGGGGTGTGCTACTTGGTGGATGGTGTCGAAAATGTGTTTTCGGAACGTTTTTGGAACGTAGAGTCTGTTCCCGTGGTTGGATTCATACCAGAGTGGTTCGTCTATGACAGGTGCTGTAATGGTGATGAACGCGAACTTGCTTTGCTTTTTTAGCTCTTGCAATTCTGTGTCTTCCTTTTGTGCTTTCGCTAGTTGTGCGAGAGAGAACTCTGAACGTGTAATTGCGCTGATTCTTGATAGTGCGTCGGCTGGAATATTGTTCGAGCCGTGAATGTGTCTGATATCGGTGGTGAACTGTGAGATTAAGTCCAGATGTCGACACTGTCTAGGCGAGCATTTTTCAGGTTTTTGTTGGAAGGCGTACGTGAGTGGTTTGTGGTCGGTATAGATTACAAAGTGTCTACCTTCTAGAAAGTGTTTAAAATGTATCACGCTTTTATAGATCGCTAGGAGCTCCCTGTCATAGGCGCTGTACTTCCTTTCAGCGGCTGTCAATTTCGATGAGAAAAATGCGAGGGGCTTTTGAGACGATTCTTCCAGCTGCTGTAACACTCCTCCGATGGCCTCAGCTGAAGCATCTACTGCTAAACTGAGTGGCAGTTTGGGATCGGGGAATGTTAGTGTTGTTATGTTAGCTAGATCCGACTTACATTTTTCGAAAGCTCCCTCAGCTTCCTGGTTCCAACGTAAATCGGCGTTTTTACGTGAACACCCTTGAAGAAGGTTGTTCAGGGGTGCTTGGGTATTTGCTGCGCCATTGATCCATCTGCGGTAATAGTTTAGCATTCCCAAAAACCTCTGCAAGTCTTTTGAAGTTTTTGGTTTTGGGAAAGTTCTTATTGCGCTGACTTTCTCTGGGAGCGGTTCCAGGCCTTTGTTTGAAACCTTGACGCCAAGGAATGCTAGCTCAGGTACGCCAAACTTGCATTTTCCTGGGTTGATGACTATGCCATGTTTGTGCAGACGTCGGAGCACTTCCTCCACATGTTGGACATGTTCTTGTTCTGACGTACTGGCAACAAGTATGTCGTCTATATAGGCGTAGGCGAAGTCGAGTCCGTACAATGCTTGGTCTACAAATCTCTGGAATGTTTGTCCAGCATTCTTTAACCCATATGGCATCCGCAGGAATTCGAAGAGTCCGAATGGTGTTGTGACAGCTGTCTTTGGTCTATCGCTTGGATTTACAGGTATCTGAAAATATGCGGTTAATAGGTCCAATGAGGAGAAAATTGTCTTGCCCTTCAAATTGGCGGCGAAGTCTTGGATGTGCGGCACTGGATAGCGGTCGGGGATTGTGACTGCGTTAAGACCGCGATAGTCCCCGCATAGACGCCATGTGCCATTGTTTTTGGGGACCATATGCAAAGGGCTGGCCCAAGGTGAGGAGGACGGCTGTATGATGCCATTTTCCCTCATGCGCCGAAATTCTTCTTTGGCGATTCGCAGCTAGTCAGGCGGCAGTCTTCGGGGTCTACAGTGAGCTGGGGGTCCCCGAGTTGGAATGTGGTGAACCACGTCATGTTTCGTTTCGCGTGGCGTTGTTGTAGCTCGGGTGACCTCTGGGTACTTTTGCAGCATCTGTTTATATGTTGCACTCGCACCTTCGAGGACTGCGTGGATCCCGTGTTCGTGAGCGCGTTTCAAACGCCCTTCGACCGAAAGCGATGTGCGCGAGTCACTTATTTTTTTGTTTTTTATGTCCACGCACAAGCCATAATGCTCGAGAAAATCTGCGCCGATTATTGCGTTCGTTACCTCGGCGACTATAAAGGTCCACTTGAACTCGCGGCGAAGGCCAAGATTTAGTGTGACGGTTATTTGACCAAAAACGCGGATATCCGAACCATCGGCTGACTGTAGTCGCAACGAGGTGGGTTCACGGGCGCACTTGTGTTTGAATTTGGCGGGCAGAATGCTGATATCGGCGCCTGTGTCGACCAAGAAGTGTATCTTCGACCCTTTGTCGACGATGAACAGGCGTCGAGACGCTTGCCGGGCCACCGCAGCTGCCTTTACGTGCGGCCCTCGTGCCCGTTTTTTTGGAAGCTGCAGGGTCGTGTGCACTTATTGGCTTTCTCCCCAAATTTTCGATGATACCAGCACTGCTGGTCCTCTCTGCTTCTGCTTCGACTTCGAGTTCGCTTTTTGCTTTCCCCTTCGAGCCGTTGCATCAGATTGTCCATTTTTTCCAGGATTCTTGACATCATCTGCATCATGTCGACGTCGCTCGAGCGTGATGGACCTGGTTGCGGAGACCTTGCTCGTACTTCCGCCACCGCTGCCGACGGGGTGGACTCAAGTATTTTGTCGGCCACTTCTGCCACCTTGTCGATTTCGACTTGTGTAAGCGACACAAGGATCGGCTGAATGGATACTGGCATCTGTTGAATAAATAGTTCTCGTAACGCTGTGGCATTTACGTAGGGCGTATTTTGTATTAGGGACTGCATGTGTCTCAACAGCTGTGAGGGCTTCCTGGAACCTAACTCCTGGCCTCCTAACAACTGCTTTAGTCGCTGCGTCTCGGTGATGCAGGTGCGACTGACGATGGCTTGTTTGAGACATGTGTAAGGCTCCGTGTCGTGTGGCTTCAAGATGACGTCGGATACTTCGGCTGCTACATCGGGTGGTAATATGGTGAGCACATGGTTGAAACGTGTCTCCTCTTTTGTAATTTTGCTGATCTGGAACTTTGCTTCTACCGTTGTGAACCATAGGTCTGGCTTGGCTGACCAGAATGGGGGCAGTACGAAATGGGTTGCGGCAGACGCGTGCGTTTGTTCGCTTTGATCATCGTCGCCAGCCATCTTGTTTTTTCGTCCCGGTGCGGCGTGGAGTTGCTTGACCACGTGGCTGGGTTTTTCGCTCTCCTCGCGTTGATTTGCCTTTTAGTCGGGCTCACCAATTTGTGGGGTTGATGTTGGTCAGGACTCAATAACTCTCAATCCCCAACAATTAACAATTTATTCACAAACGTTCACACAAGAGAAAATACAAAGCAGTGTTCATGTCAGAGCGAGACTCTAAGAAGTACTGATTCTCCTAGCCCTCTCGTGGGGGGAAACGCCGCGGTCAGGTCTACATAGATGGCGCCACACTGCGGGAAACCTTTATTTTTTAAAATAATTTTTATGTTTTCAAATTAGGATAAAAAAATCTAGTAACGACAATAACAATGTCTTTTATTTTCCTTTGTCGTAGTAGCAACATTTTTGTATTATTTGCAATATTCAATTCATATTTTTTTATATTTTTCTGACAATGGAGTTGCGGTTACATTGACCCTTCCAATGAAATGAGTAGGAGTGATCGAGAAATGAGGCAAACCAAATGGGATGAATGTAACAATTGATTTTTTTTCAGAAGTCAACCTACTCGATCACAGATGGCGCAAAGTAGAAAAAGGTTAACATTCTTTGAGAGTGTAGTGGTAGATGATTACTACTCGTCCGTCTACAGATGGCGCAACACAAAAATGGAAAAATAATACAATCGCCCAAAATTCGCCAAAATCGCCAACTGGCGCCGACATAAAAAATACAACGCCAATCTTAAGCGCCAAGTC